ATTCCTCCCTCCCCCCTCTCCCCCGAAATCACTGATTTTCCATAACTCCCGTATTTCTAGAAATTTTTCATTGAAATACCGCCAGTTAGTGATAATGAGTCCGTATGCCAAGTTCTATAATGATAGTTTTGTTATAAAGGAAGTTATAGCCGAGCGCTACCCGCAGAGTATTTCAAAGTCGGGACACCCAACATTAGCTTCTCCGCTTGTTAATAATAATGGAGATGTGTTCGTAAAAATAAATTTTAGCATCAAACAGTACGCTCAAGTCTTTAACATTGTAAATTCGTTCCAAAGGAAAGTTATTTTAATGATATGAAAAGAAATGAGGATTGCATCGGTGAAATGTCATTAACTTACATTAACTTACATTCCGAGAAAAGTACAATTGGAAGCATTGAGATCAGACTGTAAATATTCCAGAAACTACGCATCTTTATAAGACAAGCAAAGTTTTACGTTATCGACATACATTGGGATACGAGAGTGGGTTAAGGATGACGGAAGATCGTTTATAAAAAGACTAAACAGTAAAGAACCGAAATGACTACCCTGAAGTTACTTTAACAGCTTTATACAATACAATAAGATTTTTGGGAAATCCCAAAAGTCCCTACATACAGATCAATAGCTCATGATTGACAGAGTCGAAAGCCTTTTTAAAGTCATTCATAACAAACGATGAAAACTCGAGGAGATTCGAGATTGAACGGCGTTTTATAAAATTATAGACCTGCAAAGGTGTTGTAGCTGAGTTGCTAACAGTTTTTCCATTTGCTTAGGGATAACTGAAAGTGTAGCAATCCCTTTTTAATTTTCAAAATCAGATTTAGATCCGCAAAACTTTGCTTAAGTATTAGCAGGTTAGACAAAGTGGAAGGCTCATCGAGAACTGGCATGAATATGCAGTTTGCCTCAGGCATATTGACGTAAAAATGAATATTGGACGACAAGAAACAATTTGTTGTGTACAAATCTTGACACAAGAGAGAATGCTACAGTCGAGCAAGCCCGACAGTAAAATACCGTGTACCCTCCACAAAAAAAGGAAATTGAAGAAATATAATTTTAAAAAATTATAACAATTGATTAAATAAAATAAAAACCAGAGAGAACGCTACAGACGAGCAAGCTCAACAGTAAAATAGCCTGTACTTTCCACAAAAACGGAAAATTAAAAAAAAAAAAACAACAACAGCTGCGGGCAGAGCTTCGGCAGAGAAAATATTTTTGACTATCACCTTGATTAACCTATCGTAATGAAACTTGGCGGACTCATAATCATGAACTGGAGGTACTTGCGAAATTGGAGTACACAATTCCAAAAATTACGGGAGGTATGGAAAAAACACGAATTGCGGGGGAGTCGGGGATGTATCAGAAAAAAACACAAAGTCGAGTCGACTCGACTTGTCATCCTGTTCATTAATATATACACATTGTGGGATCTGCCACGCCTCCTTCTGTGTGTTACATACATTCGCACAAAACTAATATAGCCTTTTACCCTTTGGGGTATACAAATAATCAATATATACATACATACAAAAGTGAGAAGAGATTAATAAACAATTTCAACAGCATACATTTACATCAGAATCGTGTGTGTATGCAGTACAAGAATAAATCAAAGCAGCAACAACAACAGCTGCGGGCAGAGCTTCGGCAGAGAGTATATGTATGGCTATAACTTTCTTCATAATTAACCTACCGCAATGAAACTATGAAACTTAGCATACGGACTTATAATCACTAACTGGATGTAATTTAATTCAAAATGCCAAGAATTACGGTAGTTCTAAAAAAAAAAACACAAATAGTGGGGGAGTAGGGGGCGGGGTGTATCAGAATAAAAAAATAAACTTGATCTGCCTAGGGCTTAGGGGAATCTGGATACCAAGTTATTGGTTATTCTAGCTCTTCATTTCTGAGATCCTTGCATTCGCACAAAATTAGTAAACCCTATCACCCTTTGGGTACAGTGTATAAAAAATTGGCAAAAAGATTTGCAATGCTGGCATATGTTTTTGTAGTAGTGATCAGAGAACTGCAGCGGTGCACCGCAACAATAAGTACACCGCATACCTACTTAGAATATTTCACTCACGATCACACAAAACACCGCATAAAAAATGATGCGGTGTTGATTATACTCATGGCCTTCTTATACTTAGATCAATGCAATCACAACAAGACTTTTCGCTATCCTCTTCACTCATTTTTGTACTTATGCGGTTGGTGATTGCAAAGAAACTTGTGAGAGTAAAAACCACCACCAAATGTTTGCGATCAATTGAGTATTGGGTTTTCTCGCACTCGGCAATTTTTTTACTCTGTCTTTTTGAGTGTTCGCTCTGCACCATCAATTCAGATGCGGTGCCTGCAATACTTGTACTTATGAAAGTATAATTTGCGATGTTGACCTTGGATATTCAGTGCACATGTGTTTACACGTATGTACATATGTATGTAGTAGAACATGTATGTATGTTCTTTTGTGTGTACACTGTACATATTCCGCTACGATTTTGTTTTGGCTATATCGCTAAGAATACAAACATAAACAAGGCAAGGTAAAAAAAAGATGTGTACAAAATTAAAAGGATTTATTTAATTCATTTTTTTGCTCTTATGAATACGATCATCTATGATCGATTCAACACTAATGAGGCTTATGCAGCAATTAACTATACCCTTCCATATGAAGCAGAATGCAGAAAAAAATAATTTACAGTGCATTATGAGCATACATAAAAAAACGCCGTTATGCACATGCGTTGTTTTCAGTACTTGGTCTTTGCTTCGCTTCGATTTTCATATGCGGTGTTTGCAGTACCCGGTCTTTGCTTTGCTAATCATCACATTGATTTTGTCAACTCTTCTCTCATCGTTTCTTGCGCACGCAATATTTGTATTGTGCGCGTATGAGTATAAGTACGATTGCAGAAAACGACAACAAGAATGTGCGATGAAAAAGTAAAGCAGAAACCGCATACACCCATGATCGAGTACGAAAGTGATCCAGTCATACCAATACAAAAATGCCTTTTGAGTATGTCACTGAATTGACAAAATAGTATGCGGTGGCGATCACACCGCAACCGCTTTTTCAGTAAGTATACTTAGAGTCACAAAAATAGGCACTCATGCAGTTCTCTGGTAGTGATGTAAATATGCATCAATGTATCGATTTTAACGTAAGCGATTGTTTTCGATTCTAACTCGATGTTTTCAAATTCGATGTTACGATCGATTTTTATACAAATATCGATGTTGCGGACACTCCTAAGCGGGGAAATCCCAGTAAATACACAAAAGTAATAAAACTGTGATGTGCCTAGTATCAAAAAAAGTCCTAAAGAACTGCTAAGAAACCATGACAAATCAAGTTGTTATTCCCATTTCAATCGTTAATTCGAAGCCTAGCATATCCTTAGCTAGCAGGAATCCCACAATATTTGTTTGTTAGTTGGGTTTTGGTTCGAATCACGCCGGAACCATCAAGGCTGAAGACTGACTGAAATTTAACAAGTAAAAAAACTAAAGTCGGGTGTCCCAACTTTGAAATACTCTGTACATATGTTTGGAATAATTATAGAAATTAAAAAAGTAAGAGAATTAAAAAAAAAAAATTGATTAAAGGGGGTATAATTGCACATATACAAAGCAATTGTGTCTATGTGAGTGTTTGTATGTTTATGCGCGTCTATTCGTGTCTGTGTAAACATGTTAGCAGTCAACCAAACAGCTACATTAACAACAGCCGCGGGCAGCGCATGAGCAGCGCTGCAGCAGAAAATATATTTATGGCTATAACTTCTTGTTAAATCGGTCTATCATGATGAAGCTTGGCGTACGGACACATAATTACTAACTGGGGGTATTTACAAAATTTTAGTTCGAAATTCCAAGAATTACGAGAGTTAGAGAAAATCGCTATTTGCGAGGGAGAGGGGGGAGGGGTTTACATAAGGCATCAGGGACTAAAATTTTGTGTCCGTAGGTCTTATAGTCTCTGAGATATAGGCGATTATACGAATGGAAAATCGGGAAAACCCCCATAGGGGGGAAGTGGAAGGAGAAAATAAAAAAATTAAGGCAAACTTGCACAGCGTACACACATAAAACATATTTGTGCAAAATTTGGTGCCTCTATCTCGTACAGTCTCTGAGATCCAGGTGTTCATACGGACGGACAGAAAGGCAGATAGAGCGAGATCGACTCGTCTTATCATGCTGATCAGGAATATGTTTACCTTGTGGGGTCTGCCACGCCTCCTACTGCCTGTTCTTTCTGTTACATGTTTCATCTCCCGCAAACCTATTATACTCTTGTGAATTTCATGTACAGACTATCACAAACTCGTACTTTCTCGGACTAAGCAGAATCTGGACACCAAGTTTGGTTATTATAGCTCTTATACTTTCTGAGATCCTGGCCTCCATACAGAAGGACGGACAGACAGTTGTACATGTACATGACTCGGCTTGTCACCCTGATAACGAATTTTTCTAAAAATGTATTTATACTTTATGGAGTCAGCCACATATGTATATGTACTTGTACCCTTTTATCCTTTGGGTACAGGGTATAAAAATAAAGTATTCACATAAAACCATGTCAAGGAACCATACATATATATATATATATATATTTGTTTTTTGTCTTTTGAGTGGTTGGACGTGGTTCCTTGACATGGTTTTATGTGAATTTTCCCTTTATACCCTGTACCCAAAGGGTAAAAGGGTACATATGTGGCCGACTTCATAAAGTATAAATACATTTTTAGAAAAATTCGAGATCAGGGTGACAATCCTGACTTTTTTTTTAACATATTTTGATTCTGCGCACTGCCATTTTACTGTGAAAAATCAATTTTCAACTGTTTTTCGCCTTTTCACAAGATTATAAAAACAGCTATTTAATTTTTAATTAAAGAAAATTACTGCTGTATATTTCTGCATTATCTGCCGTTACAAATATTTATTATCTTACTTACTTTCAAAGTGCTTTATTTCCGATTTATACTTTATACACGAGAGATTTCCAATAAATAGTAAGTAAGTCACTACTAACTTGATATTTTAAAATTTATAAATTTATATTTTTCCTTTACGTCTAAATACACAAGTTAAAGTAGTTTGGGATAGATTTTGGGGCACCAAAACTATACTGGACCTTTCATGCCGTTCTAGTGTTGTGAAAGCTTTCTGGAAAGCTTTTAAATGACATATGACATCTGCGCGCGCAGGATACTAAAAGGTTACCAAATGTGTACTAAAAGCTTTACATACATGATGATGTAAACAAACAAAGCTACCACCTTTGCCACAATTTATTTGTTTTTACATATGTATATGTATGTACACATATGTAGGTATTGCCTATCTTTGCTGGGCAAAGTATTTGCTTACAAATGTACAAGTATACATATTTAATAATTATTTATTATTGCCACATTGTGGTCATTTCCTGAAAAGTTTCTATAAGAACTAACCAGTAGCAAAATACTTAGCTAAGTACTGAAAGCCGGGGCATAACAATTATAGTATTAAACAGCATAAATATTAACTTCAAAACTTTATTTCTTTTGCCCGATTGAAGTTAGAATCAGTGGAGGAGCTAAGCGCGTCTGTGCATACAGTGAGTCCCAGCTTATTTCGTGCAGACGCAAAAATTTTTTGAAATGCCACTACAGGCAAAATATGAACGTTAGCCAAAAAATGAAAACGCCAGTTTGTTGATAACTTAATATATATTTTTAAAGGGATTGCATTGTTTTATATTAATAATATTTAAATAAAAAAATAACAAAACTAAAAAGGCAGGACAATTTTAGGTCACAGCTTAATTCGTGCAGTGGCTTCAGACTTAAAAAAATGTATTTTAAATTAATATTTAATATTTGGTTTGGCCAATTTTATATTAGATAAGGGTTTTCAAATGGTTATCGATAGAAGCCAGAAATTTGTTTGTTTTTTCCAATGGTGTTTTTTGCCATTCTTCCAATATGGCCTCCTTTGGGTCATTTATGTTTTAAATTTGCCCTTTGCTAATAGCTAAATCCAAAATTGCCAAACAATTTGATATTATATTTAAGTCTGGTGACTTAGCTGGCGGAATCATACTGTGTGGACAGTTCCAGATCAGCCAGTTCTGCACAATTCCCAATTTATGTTTTGGATCATTGCCTTGGCAAAATGGAGGAGAGTTTCTGCAGAGGATTTCTTTCCCAGTTTATCTTCTATTTGTACGGCCAATTTAGGGCTGATAGCATGGGGTTTTCCTTAATTTTTCCTACTATACGTCGCTTTCCCGAGTCCGTGAAAATCTAATTTGGAGCATTTCGACCATGAGTGGCTTCCCTATTCTCACGTACAAGGTGTTCAATGATGCTCTGCACTTTACCAGGACTCAGATCTACGAGTTCCGCTATTTTCCGTTGGCTCATGCCTTCTTTATAATGCAATAACGAGCCAATAAGCGACCCATACTTAAAAATACTAAAATATTTATATTTAATTGGGAAAAAACAAAAAAATTTATGGAAATAAATTAGTTAACCCATTCCTAATTACAATGGAAGAAGAAGAATTCCATTTTGCTTAATCATTCGACATTGCTCGCGACCTTAAGCCACTGTACGAAATAAGCAGTGACCTTTTTTTGGTTGCAATATGATCCATTTCTGTTTTGTTGAAAAATAAAGCAATGCTCGAAATTCACTAAACTTGTTAAATATATTATAATTAAATCGCTACAATTCTGCATTTAAAAAATGTTGATTTAACGAAATAGGCTGTGACTCACTGTATGTGTAGAATAGGTAAAAAAAAATTTACAAATCTTAATTGCATAGCTCAATGAGCTAGCAGGAATGTCCCAATTGTGATTTTGTTCTTTGAATAGGTACTTGAAAATTTAATATGTGTCCAACTAAAGAAAGATCTTAAATAAAGAATAGAGATTTTAAAAAATTGCAATACATACTTGTATTTCAAAAATATTCTTTGATCGATTATACATTCTTAGGTATTTCAACCAGTTGCCAGCACCTCGTCACAAAAGAAACAAACAAGAAGGACGCTACAGTCGATTATAATGCAAAGGCAACTGATATGAATGAATGAGTATATACACGTACAACTCAGTCGCACTCAGTCGAAACGTAGAAAAAATTGAATGGAGTGAGAATACGAAATATTTAGACGTAATTCTCGAATGGCGAATCGGTAAAGAAGAAAGAAAAACTGTAGTCAATAAAATGGTTGATATTTATATTTTCATTTGTATTTATTTTACTTATTACTAACATAACATATTTATTTTATATTTATTAGAATTTAAAAACATTATCTGGTTAATTTTGTTAGGATTGGTGGCTAATAGACAACGCTTTTCTGTTATTAAATTTCTAGAGTTTGAAAATGTGCTTGTGTGATTGGATTTGTGCTTTATCTATGAACTAGAGTAGAGTAACTCGAATAAATCGAATGTTTTCCGATATGTCAAATGTTTCATTCCGTTTACGGTTTATTAATTCTAACTCATTTCAATGAATGTCGTATGCTATGAGACACAAGACGCACTCATGTTCATACAAATTCATTACACTTTCAATGTTCTTACTCAACTCAATCGATTCCATTCTTTTCAATATTTATGTACATATGTATATATATACATATATGCATATTCGGACACTTTTATAATAAAACACGAATTGTGGAGACTTGCATGATACAGCGGCTGTCTCTAAAATAATTTGCGATATACCGCTTATTTTGGCGGCAAATTTAAATATCAGTATACAGATCGAAAATAGAAGATAACAAATGTAACAGCTCCATAATGCATATCATCCAGATCCATATGTATGGCACCACCAAGGTCACTATATACATACATACATATACGTTCTAAATAACGTTTTTATGCATGTTAAAATATCATTTTTATTATACCTGTTCGTGTCAATATATGCCCCACATCGCTGAAGTTCATCGTACTGTCAATGTCACACGCACTTGACCGTATCATGAGCTACGCATGGGCCACGCATGTGCATATGAAGCCAACGCAGGCAGCTATTCTTAGCTATTGTTAGAAGAGCGGCCGCGCATGTGCACAAAACAACCACCAACCGGCTGCCACGTCTACCTACACCTACGCTGGATATGCACGCACCGACTCAGCTAGCTGCATACGACACCCCGCAACGATTTATTTTAAGAATCACCCTTTAGAATTAACTAGACCAACGCAAACAAAATACTGTATATAAACCCTTACATTTCAATCAATAAACAGTCAGAAACACAAGAACACTCGTGCAGCTCTGATCTCACATTTCCTTTCAGCTCCTCCGAATTACACTTGGGTCAAGTACCGATTGTAAAATACTCAGCTACTAGTTTATTACTAGGGGCTAACACAACAAACAACAACATATTTTTGGTGACAGGATCACAATCATATTTTTGGTGACAGGATCACAATCATTGAGGACGCAACTGGAAAGGAAGGGTTGGTCAACAAAGTGATCAACGTCAAGGTTGACGGAATTTCCATTCGGCTAAACATAGCTCAGTAAAGGACCGCAACCAGGAAACTGTGCCAGCTGAACGTACGTACGAGAGATTTCGCTATTGGGCAGTTTTCCGAAACCTTGGTATTGCACCAAGGAAACGATTAGTCAACAAGGCGACTAATCGAGCTTCCGTGGGGCAGCAGTTCTGGCCGCGCTCACAGTAGCCCCAGAAACCTCAACGAAGCAAAATTATTGGAACTCTATTGAAGAGAGCTTTGTTGGGAAGCAGTTCTGGCCGTGCTCACAGAAGCCCCAGAAACCTCAACGAAGCAAGGTTGACGGAATATCCTTTCGGCTAAACATAGCTCAGTAAAGGACCGCAACCAGGAAGCTGTGTCAGCTGAACGTACGTACGAGAGATTTCGCTATTGGACAGTTTTCCGAAACCTTGGTATTGCACCAAGGAAAGATTGGTCAACAAGGCGACCAAAGCAACTTTATTTAAGAGAGCTTTGTTGGGCAGCAGTTCTTGTCGTGCTCAAAGCAGCCCAAGAAACCTCAACAAAGCAAACTTGTATTGAAAACGATTAGTCAACAAGGCGACTAATCGATACTTCGTCGGGCAGCAGTTCTGGTCGTGCTCATAGAAGCCCCAGAAACCTCATCGAGGATCAACTTGGTATTGAACCAAGGAAAAGGTTGGTCAACAAGGCGACCAACGTCAACTCTATTGAACTTTATTGAAGAGGGCTTTGTTGGGCAGCAGTTCTTGTCGTGCTCAAAGAAGTCCAAAAAACATCAACAAAGCAAGGTTGACGCAACAAGGAAGCTGTGCCAGCTGAATCTACGTGCTAGAGATTTCGCTATCGGGCAGTTTTCCGACAATTTGTATCGCAACGATTAGTGAACAAGGCGACTAATCGATACTTCGTTGGGCAGCAGTTCTGGTCGTGCTCACAGAAGCCCCAGAAACCTCAGCGAAGGAACATTTCGAGGACTCTGTTGGGCAGCAGTTCTGGTCGTGCTCACAGAAGCCCCAGAACCCTCAACGAGGGAACTCTTCAAGCGAAGGAACATTTCGAGGACTCTGTTGGGCAGCAGTTCTGTTCGTGCTCACAGAAGCCCCAGAACCCTCAACGAGGGAACACTTCAGGATAAATCCGCCGCCAGAAACGGGCGGACCTCCATTGGTATTTAGTGTCATTGACCTTTTATCGGTGTGAGTCGAGGCACATCCGGCTTTTTAAAAAAGCAAAACAAAAACACCTTCAACGGGTCTGACAACTAATACCAGATTGGAGAAATGGCAACTCTATCTCCAGAACTGGATTCGCTGCTTAATAAGCAGGCATCACTTGGAGAAGAAATTCAAACCCTGATAAGGAATTGCAAAAGGTCTAAAGCTTCAAAGCTTTCTCTGGCTACCAATGCACGCAAAAACCAATGGGTTTTCACAACTCGAGAATCGATGCAGTTCTCAGCTATTTGCAACAACGAGCTCTTTAAACGAAACAGGACTACTCACAATCGATCCTGGGTGCAGAATCCGCAATCCAATTATTACGGTATTACGGTCACTGGTCATAACACAACTAACAACACAAAACAGGCGTCC